CTCCCATGTAGTCAACCACGGTTCAAGTCCCGGATCCAGTGGCTTCAACTCACGCCGGGCGCGTGTGTGTGCGTGCCCAAGATCCCGAGAGGAGAATGGAGGAGAAGGGAGGGCGGTAAGGCCATCCCCCTCCCAGAGGGTGATTTCTCGCTTTCTGTCTCTCTGTCTCTCTCTCTCTTTCTGGTGAGCACACGTGCCCTATAGCAAAAACAAAAACAAGAAACAAAAAAACACACATACACACGGGGGCAGGCTGGGCTCCTGGATGGACAGTAGTGGGTGCGATGGAGTCACCTCGGATCTCAGGCCAGGCCACGCCACGCCACGCCACGCCACGTGACCCGACCTTGTCCACACCATCGCCACCTGTCTCGACTGTCCTCACTATGTCCCCACAGCAGGGTAGCCAAACCCCAGACACCGGTCACTACAGGGAGAAAAAGCAATTTCAGAGACGCAGGCGGCCACACCTTGGCGCATCTTCCACACACACACACACACACGTACACACACACGCACGCACGCACACACAGCGTGCTGTCTGTAGGGGGACACCCATGCCAAAGCCAACCCTCCACCTCCCTGCCCAAGAAACACACAGTTTAAGAAAACCAACGCCAACACATCGTCTAAAAGAAAGTAACAAAACCAAACCACCAAACTTTACTTGCATTTCGCCGTTAATAAATAATTTACAGTATGTACAGGCGGCGACACCCCGCACAGGTCGCACCCGCGTGGACGCAGCGGGGTGTCCCCACTTCTAAGCAGAACGTGATCAAACACAACCAAAATAAAGTGCTTCACTTTTTACTTCCAACTTAGGGACCGTCGAAAAACCAGCAGGGAGAGGGGAGGCCCGGGGCGCCCAGCCGCCCCCATCCGCAGAGGGAGCGGGACCTCGAGGAGGGAGGGGGAGCCGCAGTTCCACAGCCTCCTGGCCAGTGTATGAGGTCCCTGGGGGACAGCAGAGGGGACCGCGGAGGCTCTGGGGTGGGGACAGGGTGGGGCTCCGAGGCCAAGCACCTCTGAGAGTGGAACCCAGCCCTGTGCTGGCCCCTACGAGGGTCTCAGGAACAGCAGCAGAAGCGCCCTGGGCTGTAAGGCGGAGCCCAAGCTGGGCCCGGGGAAGTGGCACATCTGTCCAGGCTGTGGGGCCCCAGAGAACGGGCTAGAGGGAGGAGTCGCTGCAGACGCTGCTCCAAGCTCCGCCTGGCTTCTACACCATGCCCTTCTCCCCGGAATCCAGCCCCGGGGGCTTGGGGGACAGGGGTGGGACAAGCAGAGGATCAGGGCAGGCCAGCTGACCCTATCCAGTGCGCTCCTGCCCTGGCCCCGCGGCCCAGGCTTCCCTGCCCGGGGCACCTGCGTCTGCTGGAGGGGAGGGTGCAGGCGTCAACGATGTCTCTGCTCTGCCCTTTACTTATAACTGAGCTCTGCCTCCCCAAGCACAGTCAGGGCGGGACAGGGCCTGGGGGGGGGTGCAGCCTGCCAAGCACCGTCCCTCCAACCGCGGGGCTCTGGGGCAGGAGCCCACAGCACGCAGGGTGCACCAAGCCGTCTCCCCTCGGCTCACAGGGGGACCACAGGCGAGAGGACACTGGAGGGGACAACCTGTTGGCCGAAAGGTCACACTGACTTCTTAAACCATGGGGGTGATGGGGGTGTCCTGGCACTAAGGAAGCCCTGCCTGGGGAAGGGGGCGCCCCACTCGCTCGGTGGCTCAGCCGGGGCGCCCCCGCCGGCTTCGTGTGCGCGCGGGGC